GTCACAGAAAGGAAGAGAAGGAAAATAAAACGGAGCATTTTTCACCTGATAGCGCAAAAAAAAAAAAAAATCGTGATTTTGTGTGCTGCAAACATGTAAATAAATATTAAAGCTTTTCCGCATTTAAACTGCATTTGGAATATCCTAAGCCATTAGTTAAAATGACAGAAGAATACAGCTACCTGAAGCCTATGTAAAGAATCTCTCTTTAACAGGCTTTTAAAGATTGCAAGCCAGAGCATCTAAAAAGCACATCCCTGAATAATTTAAGGCTCCTGGCATCTACATTGAAAGACCTCCTTTGCTAAACCTGGAGGAAAAAAAAACAAGGTAAGAGAAAGAATAAAGGTCGTGAAAGATCAGCGACAAAATCACTACTAAAAAAGTATTTTTCCTATCTTAAAGTTTAATCAGACATGGAGGAGCAAGGATTTTACAGCCAGCCCTTCCCATTTACTGTCAACAGCTATGGTCCAACATTAACATTTACCCCTTGGCAGTGTTAAGGCAGTGATGGTCAGAGAAACAATACATGAACAAAATGAAAGAGAAGGAAGGAAACCGATCAAGAAGGTGAAGCACAGCACAAATCCTCATTAGCAGAAATTCAATAGCAGAAATTCAATAACAAATAAAAAGCAAAAAGCTAGAGTTTATCATGAGTTTTAAATGGGTAACCTACATTTTAGGGCAAAAGAAGAAAGAAAAAAAAAACCAAACTCTGGAAGAATAGACCAATGTAAATACATATTATTAAAACAAAATAAAACACGATTACGCTATTAAGACACCAGGCAATCTGGTTTGGTGCAGGGTAATCCCCATTTATAACCAATTGTACCAAGGTCAAATTACAAATCAGTGTATTGTTGACAATACCAAGTTTTCTCTGCCAGCTACATCCTTTAAATATCAGCAAATCCTACCTACTTCCTCATGTCTGTTATAGAAACCATCCAAACAATGGGAGCAAGCAATCTTCACCTCAACAGCTATTGACTTTGAGCTAACTGAACTCTTCATTCATTTTTACTCCTAGACTGGAAAGTCCTTGCTGTTCTACAGTATCTGAAAGCCTCGCCACTGATTACAACCAGTTCAGGATCCGGCTCCTCCTCAGTATATGAAAATGGACTTGAAACAATAGGAAACCTTATCTGAGGAAGTTAACACAGGTCACCCTTTTCTGACACACGAATACTGAACTTTATACACCTCATACGGACAGAAAAACAGCTTAACTAAGTCTTATGAATTAGATAAGAATTTGGAAAAAGTGTCGCATACAGAATGCTGATTTTCAGGAAAAAAAAGGCATTCACCTTTTTGGAGAAACAGATTTTGCATTTTTGCTTTACACAACTTTTCATCACGTAATTGCTAAAAGAAGAGTCGTTAGGAAGTCACTTGACTATATAGCAAACAGGTCAGCTGAAGTGTAGAAGCAGATTCAGAATGGGGCAAAACCAACATGCCTAACAGAATTTCCAAGTAAATGCCTGTAAAAGTGATTCCTCCCTCTTTTTGTGGAATTTTTATTTCTTGTGAGAATGGAAATGAAAGAGTAAGAAAATTACACTATTTAATATGCAATTGCGATATTTTTCCAGTGTAATTGCAAGCTGAAAAAAATCTTTTTGATACACATTTTTCTCTCTTAGAACTCAAACAGTTCAGTCGCTGCAGAAAGCAGGTGGTTATGAGAAACTAAACCGCAACTTGTTTTTCAAATTTCATCTGAACAGGCTAGTTGTTATCTACTCTTCATTCTGCTCACTCTGAGCTAAACTACAAAAATGTTCATTTTGACAAAAATGTTCTTTGTGATAGGTATTCAAAGTTATAAAAAATATAATAAAAAGGTAATACAAGATGGACCAGATGGGGCTTTGGATGCTGTGACAAAAAAGAAAGGTTTGGAAGTGCAGACATTTCTAAGATTATTATGGTAGGAAGGACCTCTTTCCAGAAGACATAATGGAGTAACAAAATAAATGCAACTTTAAACAGGTAAACTGAAGTTTAAAGCATTAAGGGGAAGCTTGACATGCTGGATCCTTAGCTAGTAGAAATATGCCTAATTCCAGTAACGTCAGTAATATCACATGAAGTTATGCTAGCTGTTGATCTCATTCATAATATCTAAAGCCCACACCTAACTATAAATATATATATTATGTTTGCTTTTTGAAAACTGATTGAAGTTTAATAGCAACTCATAATTGAAATATTCATGGTCCCAAGCTAGCTTTGAAGTTAAATCCCTAAGTGGATAAAGTGGACTGTATATCTAATCTAAACTAAATGTTTCCCTTAGTTACTAATACCAGTGCAGTTTCACTAGTTAAAATCATTATTACAGAACAGAAACGCAAAACCCGAAGCATTTTAAGGGACATTTAATCCTGCTCAACGCTAGGACACAGCACATGTTCTTGGCAGTATCAGTTCTGCCGCTACCTTCCACACCTTTGCTTCAAGAGTTGACTGACTTGGTGATTTCTAGGCAAGAAAGTTTTAACCACAGCTTTCCAGCACTGCTACTGTTAGTGAAGTTTCTTACAACTCCTTTCAATGATATAAGTTTCAATTTAAGACCACAAGTCTACCTCAGTTTTAAAGCCCGTTTCTCAAGCAATGAAGCTAGAAATGTCACTAATTTTTGTACCTGGACTGCAGACTGTAACTGTTTCAGTGGAAAACTTCAGTTTTCTTTACATATTCTGCAAATCACACACACATCCCCACACACACCCCCTACCTATATACAGCTCCATAAATGAAATTTGTGCTGCAAATTTAAATGAGGTGGCTGACCACAGTTTGGTTGCCCCTGAACTAGGAAGTGGCTGTGACCTTCTTCACTGGTTTACACTTCTGTCCTTCAACATTTTTGGCTCAATTAAGTAAGTGTATCAAACATGGAACCTATGAAAGCTTGCCCATCC